TTGCTTTGTCGGATCCACTTCATCATACCAACTTAGTCGCTATGTGACGGTCATGAGGGTTTGAATTCCGAGCTCCTTGGCAAAGCGGAACTTAATTGTTCCTTGACTAGATCGGTGAAACGCCTGCATTCATTCATTCATTCAAGCAAAAACCAGGTCACGAAAAACTAAGACAACAAGATATGTACAATTTGGCGAAGATAAACAAAAGGCTGAAAAGCGTGTAGAACATACCGGCGACAAATTGAGGTCCTCATTGGCCGTAGCACTCACATCCAGGACTAAAAATTGTGCGTGAAAAGAAAGGGGGGCGCTTAGTGGTACTTGCTCAATTAGGATGGGCTGTGAAGGCGCAAAATACGCATGCGATAGAGACTCACGTTGTTTCTCGACTTCTTTAACTTCTTCCAGGCTCAAAATGCGTCGGGCGCCTGCACTGGCCTGATGTAAAAAAACGAAAACAGTCCAGAGATTATACTATCAAAGAAAGCAATAAAAAATTGACAATGTTATGATAATAGCAATAATCGGATAATAAGTAACACCACATACAAACGTGTCCGCCATCAGAAGTGAGACATTTCCACACCCTAGTCCCCAGTATTGATAAAGTCGTAAGCAGCAGAAGAGGCAATTTTTACTCGAGTTTACTTACCGTGGACAGGGTGGAGGGTAGAAGCGATGATGCTCTTGTGGTATTTCCAGACTGAGCGGCTTTAAAACACAAGGGTATAGGAGAAGGAATGAATTGTGATGAAGAGGAAAATAACATTCATAAAGTCTACAGTTCATGGGAGATCGTGTATAACTCACAGACTCGGCTGAAGCGGGAAGAGACCTTAAAGCCAGACATTGCTGGCAAATCGAAGCCGCAAGAACCTGTCTTCCGCACCGGAGAGGGCCATACACACCGCGGTGATATGGGTTGAGGAGACCGATCCCGGTTGGGTTTTAAGGAAACTTGAGAAGTATGACCTGGAGCGTAATAAAGGTGAGGATTACTCATTTGAAACACGCTATGCAACTCACCATAAAAGCATAAATTGCAAACGCCTTAGTTATCGACGACGAGTGTTGGGTATTGCAATTTTGATGTTTATACTTGGTGAGTACTGCTAGGTCTCCAGACCACCTTAAAAACTCCGTCATTAACCAGACATTGTGATGGAAAATCGCTCCCATCACTCCACTTTTGCAGAAACATAGCAAACATACTAAGAGCGCGCAAACCAAGTTGGGGAGGGTCTTGAGAAAGCTTACATATTATGATATTTAAAGTAGCCTCCTTTAGTAACAGCTTTAAAGGATATAACACGTCATACGGAACTGCCAGAACATAATAGCGAGGATGGCTGAACAAATTTAAGCAAACAGCGGGTGGTTGGAACCCAATAGCCTACTGAGAGGTTTACTTCCTTAAAGTATATCGTGGTAGGCGGTTTGAAAATACACGATATTTTGGTCCCTGCTTATCACCACCGCAATACTATTCAAGTTTTTTTTACCAAGTAAAACCCTATCTAAAAACATTTTGGCGAGCAAACTCACCCTGATTGTTGAACTTGGACTTTGTCCGATCCAGATCAACGTCGACTTCTGGGAGGAGGAAAAAGCAAAAATTATTTTCAGAAGGATAGACTTTCTATGTCGAGGAGGAGGAGAAGGAACGAAAGGGGGGAGGGTGAATTCTAGGCGCACTACGAAGGAGAAAAGACGCGACACCACAGACTGGCCACTCTACCGAAAGAAATCAACTTAAAAAGTAAGGTTCCTGTCAGGTGAAGGAGAGCGTTTCTAAACAAACTAGGTTTAGGAGAGGGTTATCCAAAAAACTGCATTGAATGTTAAAGGATAAGACTGAATGGCTGAATGGTTGAGGATTTACGAAGGCGGCAAGTAACAAGATAAAAAAGGTACAGTAAAATCAAACCAGAAAGCAACACTTACTAAACCAGCATGCCGAGCACCTGGACACAATACCTTCACTGTGTTAAAATGCAATTCTAGCAAGCCAAGAAACGACAAAACACTGGGTTCGAAGCTGCTAGAGGACCCGTGTGTGCTACTGCGGTACAGACTGGCAACCCGATTCAACAAACGGCGGCACAAACTGTCGACAAAAGACACTAGCCAGACAAATACCAACTCCCCACACTTACTTGCTAGATCGTTTCGCACCACCGTCCCCTAAAACTTCGTCCCATCTAATAAAGGATCAATGCACGTAAATTCTTCTTCAGTAACAGAGTGGTTGCAATGTGAAATGCACTTCCCGAAGAGATGATCCTCTCCACCTGTGTGAACACATTAAGACCAAACTGGACAGACGCCAAACATTTTATTCACCAGTGTTAAGCTGACTCACGAGGGAGAGTATTACATGTACTTGCTATACTGCCTTGCTAAGCGAGTATTTATAGTTTATTACTATTTCGGCTCAATCAACTTTTCACGCTTCGCTTCCAAGCATTAGTTTTTTTTTTCATTTGTCTTTTCTAACCGTACATTTTTAGGCCACCTTGTTACCAACAGGGAGCTCAAAGGCATTCTCGCTTATCTTCCCCTCAATAAGCTGATACTGATACCACTGGACGAGCCAACGGCATGAACCATTGTCAGGACCTCACCGGTATCGCCCAACTTTCCTACAGAAGTGTTACTTAAATGTAACAAGTAGTAATATATTACTTCTACTTGTTACGTTTAAGTAACACTGATACCACTGGACAAGCCAACACCAAACCGACACAAGAATGATGTCTTAGATGACTTCAGGTGCCCCGACTACACGGATAGAATAAGGCGGCCTGGCGACAGCCAGCCAGCGACATAGAAACATCCCAATTTTAACTGCCCCGTCTTTGTCGGCAATTCTCGAATTTCGCCATATATGTTATTGTAGTGGGGGAAAAATCCCAAATCTATGCCCTAACAACAACAAATAAACTGTTCATCTAGCTCCTCGAATTTCTACAGTACACTATAGATTGTCAGGAATTGAGGCAAGTATTCGCATCCCAGTTATACGTGTAGATAGAGAAGTAAAAGGCGTTGTGATCACGGGAATCATACTTATACTTGTCTGAGCTTTCGGGCTCTTTCTGGAGTCCATCTTCAGAGATAAAAGGCGTAAACGAAAGACGAGCAGCAGTTATAGGACGCAGGGGCCAATCAACCGTTATATATGGGAGAGGTAGGGAGCAGTCAGCCACCACTGCCATCAGTCCGGAGATGCCCGCGCAGCGCGATGTATGCCGGCGCCAGATCGATAGATTGATCGACTGAGCTGATTGGCCCCTGCATCCTATCAACTGCTGCTCGTCATTCGTTTACGCCTTTTATCTCTGACGATGGACTCCAGAAAGAGCCCGAAATCTCAGACAAGTAAAAGCAGGATCTTGGTGATCTACTATAGATTGTTTCACTAGACATGTAGAGCACTTACCAGTCTCAATCTCTCCCGCCGCCGCCACCACCGCTACCTCCTCCTCTTCCGCGTGAGCCTGGACATTCGTGTGCATACTCGCAGCTAAAAAGTGAACACACACTCAATATAAATACAGACTAACACTGAAATCAGCATCAGCACGGTTCAGGCAGCCGCCCAACATACCTCTACTCTCAGCCATCGCCGCCGTCTCTTCTTCAAGGTCTTGACTCAGTGCATCGTCAGGCGGAGGCAAAACACGAAGACAACTGCTGCAACCTAACAAAATGCACAGAGCAGGTGTCATTATTCAGAAACAAGTTACATCAAAGTACCGATCAATCAAGGCCTACATTCGCACACTGACGGATACACAAATCACCGCCGACCCAACCCCGATGCCAGTCTTGGTTGTGTCGTTAGATGGAAGTAAAACATTAGGGCAACTGCCACTTAACAAAATACACAACAAGGGTGCCCTCATTCCTAGGCAATTCAAGTCACAGTGTCTATCAATATTAACGCACATTCACATACACACATATTGGCTTTAGGCGCCGCGTACTCTAGCACCAT